TCATGAATGTCAAATAAAGGGTTAAACCAAAATACTGATTTTAGAGGAAGTCTCCCTTTTGAAAACTCAAGCCTATTTTTACTACCTTATTTATACTACTATTAAAGTAATCTAGCATAAAATAGGCACATCTTGGTCTGTCTTGTGATATTTTGAATAAAGAGCACATGAACAGTATCATTAGTAAATGCTTTTACAAGTAAGTAATGCAAGTATATTTTCCTCATTTGTCATAGGCTCAACACCTTGTTAGTAGCATGTAGATGAAGAAGTAGAACATTATCATGACTCAGAATTCTCCTTGAGCTGGCTTCAAATCCTTACCCTCCAGTAGCCACCGAAGGTAGCCATTTCATGGAAACTTTGATCACTAGGTATTGCTTTGGCCTGTTTTATTATATTTCACATAAATGGAATTCAATATGTACTTGTTGAAGCTGATATTATTAGGGAAACTAAATTATATTCTTATATGTAGATGTACAATTTCAACATAAGAATTTTCAGGACAGACACAATCATTATTTTATAGCAGCGATGGCAAACCTTTTAGAGTTTTCCATGATATAAACAGCCTGCTGTGGCTCATGGGTCATAGGTTTACAACTTCTGCTCTATAGCGAATATGTTGCTCATTTCTGTCTGGGACCTCATCAGGAGTATCATTAATGCTTATTATTTCTAGCAGCACTCAGTTATCAGCCTAAAAATCATGATATGTATATATTCTCTAAGAGAGAAGCTTTATCTACTGTCCTCTTCTATATAATCCTTAGCCAGAGACAGACCTTTTTATTTTTCCATCACCAGTGCTTTGAACCCAAGGCCTTTACACTGTGCTACATCTTTAGCCTTCTAATGTTTCTTCTGATACAAGGTCTGGCTAAACCACTAAGTTGCTGAGCTTGGACTCAAACTTGCAATTCTCCTGCCTCAGCCTACCAGAGTACTGAGAGTACTGGCATGTACTACTATGCCAGGATCAGATTACCTTTAATATACCTACTTCTACCTTCTACCAACAGTCTCTTCAAGGCAACAAAGGCTTGGTCTATTAAGAGCCCCAAAACATTTCAGACTCTACCTATTACATAATTTTGAGCTGACATCTTCCTTTTTAGGTACTTATTACAGGAATGATCCACTTTTAATACCACAAGCATAGTGTTTTGATACAACAGAAATTTATACCTTCACAGTTCTTGATGCTAGAAGTGTAAAATCAAGATGCCAGCAGGGTCATGTTCCCTCTGAAGGCTCAATAGAAGGATCTGTTCCATGCTCCCTCCTAGTAGTTGCCAATAATCCTTGGCATTTACTGACTTACAGATTTATCATCTCAACTTCTACCTCGATCTCTACATACCATTCTCTTTGTATCTCCTTTGTGTCTAAATTTGTGTCTTAGGAGGACACCAGCATGGAAAAAGTACCCACATTAATTCATCTTAGCTTATATCTACAAAAACCCTACTTCCAAATAAAGTCACATTTGAGAGACACAATGTGCTAAGTATAAAGTAAGACTTCTAGCAAGGTCTGGGAGATAGCTCAGTAGAATAAGCGCTCACCTGGCAAGCACAGGGTCCTGAGTTCAATCCCTGGTACCGCAAAAAAAAAAAAAAGTATTATATTAATTATATTATATATATAATTTAGGGGCTGGGGAGATAGCTCAGTAGCATAAGCACTTGCCTGGCAAGTGCAAGGGCCTGACTTCAATCCCCAGTTCTGCCAAAAAAAAAAAAAAGAAAGACTTCTTTCTACCCCTGGCTTGCTGTGCCACCCCTTCCCCTGCTGCACCTCCTCTCTCCCCTGGGGTGCACTGAGACAGCAACTGTGACCTGGCATGGTGGCACACATGTGCAGTGTTTGGGAGGCTGAAAACAGGAGAATCATTATGAGTCCAATCTACATAATGAGACCCTGTAGACCTTGTACCAAATAAATGATAATAATAATATAAAGTAAGACTTTTTAAAACCATTTGGTTTTCAATTACTTAGAGCTGAAGATTTTTCAAACATACCAATGACCTCACTGAACATAAAGGAAATTATATGATCTGAATTAAATTCTAAAGGTCTTGGGGATTCTGGTATTTCTTAACATAAGCCTACTTAGGTCCACCAAAGTAAAGCATATAAGGTTGCCTGACTGGGATGGGGGAGAGAGCTCTGCAGCCTACGTGCCTGTCTGGCAAGTGCAAGGACCCAAATTCGATCCCCAGTACCGCATGCTGTGCTGACCCTGAATGGTGCACACCTGTAATCCCAATGCTGGGGAGGCTGAAATAGAAGGATCACTATGAGTCTGAACTGTGTAGTGAGACCCTGTATCAAATAAATAAATGCATAAATATATAAATAAATAAATATTTTTAAAAAGACTGCCTGACCAAGTACTATAATCATGCAAGCCTATTCTCCATAACAATTATGTATGTGTACACACAGTTCACTCTAAATTATGCTTCTCAGATTAACTATAACTGATATATCAGGGATAAAGAAGGCCATTTCATGGCAAAAATAGTTCATCAGGGGGCCTGCCCCTTAGCTCAGTTCTTTAAGTGGCTGCTTCCACAAAACAGTCAGGCTCAGGTTGCTGTGGTTCAATCCTGACAACTCAAGCCAGCCAAACCTGCCCTGAAGGCATTCGGAGCAAAAAAAAAAAAAAAAGAAAAAAGAAAAGAAAATAGTTCATCAAGAGGAGTAACAATCCTAATACTTATGCAAATAAAAACAGACCTGCAAAATACATGAAATAAAAAACTGACAGAACTATGATGAGAAACCAACAAATCCACAACTATAATCATAGAATTCAGTACTCTATTGCCAATAGTAAATAGAAAGATACATTAGAAATCAGCAAGTTACAGAGTGCTAAGAAACAGGGAAAAAGTTTCTCTAAGTGTTGCCATCCAGACACTGAAATATAGCAATGTGGAAAAGATAAGAAAGAGGGAGCTTAGTCCCCAGACTCAGAAAGAAACTGAGGCATGAATTATAGCCCATAGAGAGGGTGAAGAGAGAAACCTCAACAAAGATGGAGGTACACAACAGCACCATCTCCCCAGGACAGGAAACACTGCACTAGAGGAGCAGTTCAAACCTGACAATAGACGGCAAGTCCTGGGACCCCAGAGGCTTCCACGAAGGGACACAGCAGTGGAGGGGCGCAGCTGATGTGAAGGACTTCGCTAGCTGCCCCCTAAATTCTGAGGGCTCAGCTCTCCCACTCGAGAGTGATTATGATAGAGAACCAATTCAGAAAGGGACTGATAGAGCTCAGAACTCAGGGTGCAGGCTGGCTCCATCAAGCAGCTCCTAGCTGGACTTGGGCATGACAGATACTTGGTATTTGGATGGCTACAGGCCACCAGAGAGTGCAACCTCTCTGACTTTTTTAGATAAATCAAAATATATTAGGATACCCTACACCTTGTTTACCAGCAACAACAAAGATGAATCTGGAAGTGGACTTTTGTTGTTGATTGTTTTTTGTTGCTATAGTTGTTTTCCTCTCTCTCTCTCTCTCTCTCTCTCTCTCTCTCTCTCTCTCTCTCACATATTTTTGTTTGCTTGTTACAGTTTTGCTGGGTTTTTTGCTATTGCTTGATTTTGTTCTTTTTTTGTTTTGGTTTATTTTTCCTTCTTTTCTTTCTCCATCACTGTTTGAACTTATATATGTATATGAGTGTGAGGATGATGTCTAGCCTCTTTGTGCTTGTGGTTCATTCAGGTCATCTTTTTATCTCTTCTTGCTCTCCCTCCAATCTCCTACACTTGTATTACACAGTTAGCACAAACCCCATTTGTCCCCCATCCTTCTAATCTCTTCCTCTTCTTCCACTTCTCCATTTTCTACCCAGCCCATTTTAAATTTAACCCCTGAGGATAAAATTGACATACTAAGGACTTGTACACTCCATACAATTTTCAGTTTTATTTTAGACTTTGCTATATAACCACAAATCTAGTTCATATGGTTAAACGTGACAATTTAATGGTTACCTTAGCTTGTCATTTTCTTTTTTTTTATGTATTTAGTACAGAGTATACAGGGTCTCACTACACAGATCAGATTCGTAGTGATCCTCCTGTTTTCAGCCTCCCAAGCACTGGGATTAAGGCACCCACTACCACACCATCTCATTCGCAGTCTCAGTGTGCCCTGGGGGCGGGGCTGGTACAGCATGTGGGAAATCAAACCTCTGTCACTGCATCTGCCTAAGCAGGCACTTTAATCCACTGAGCTACCTGGCCAGCCCTAATTTGTCATTTTCTAGGCTATGTGTTATGTTATTATTAGTAGTATAATTATAGCCAAAAGTGATATAATTGTTCTAAAAAGCTGTTACAAACATGCAACTGCAAACATCATCAAAGGCAAATCCAGGGAGCAATGAAGTAGAACAACACAAAATCACCCACCTGGCCACTCTGAAGTGATAACAACAAAGCAATTGAATGAGGCTCTAGAAAACATGAAATCAGAAATAATTCCTCAGATGACTGCAGAGATGGTGTCCACAATGAAAACCATGATTAGTGACGCTAGAGCAGATACAGACAAGAAAATATAAGAGCTTAAGAAAATTAAGGAACCATGAGTGCTCAGAATGGGAAAGAATTGGAATCCATAAGGCAGATTCAAGCAGATATCCAAGAGAATACAAAGTCTATGGAAAGTGATCACAGCAGATCAAGCAGGTATGAGGACAAGATCTCAGATACAGAAGACAGGTTTGCAGCTAGCAATTATGAAAAGAAAGAGTTCTTTAAAATAGCAAGAGATACAGCTACTTTCTCTTAATTCAATGAGAAGAAACATTTGTACTAATAGTGTTTGGACAGGATATCATGTCTACATTTTGTACTATGAATAACTACTACAAAGACAACAATATGCAATGTATTAATTGTCGAAACTGCCCTACTAACCTGTTTTGAAACTGTCTCATGCTATTTGTTTCTCAATAAAATTAATAAAGCAATGAGGTCTATCCCGATGGGGCCTCTCCTGTGACTGCTCATCGTTGGAAATGCCTCATAGAATAATACTGGTTTTGCTTTGCTCACAGGTCTGTTTCTTAGGCCTGTTGATAAGGCTGTACAGGACAGCAAAAAGTACGAAAGACCTAACAATTTTTCTTTTAACTTTAGATAATTAATTGCATATCCTAGCGGCCTGTACTACTATGAATAGATTAGGAGATGAATGAACTTAATGCATGTTTAGAGAAGGTGTCAGACTATGGCAAATCCATCTACCATAAATGCTCCAAAAATGTACTGCTGGATGAAATTGGATATAAGACCACAGTTGTCACTGTCCATAATTCAAATGGAGATAGGAGAATTGTGGCAAGGCAGATGGGATGGCTGGAGTAAGCTTCACTTCTTTTGAAAAGGCTTACTCTGAAGACAGCCTCATTAAAATGGCCCTAATTAAATCACATGAAATTTCTTTAAAATAAAATTTACTTAATTTAAAAAACTAAATGAAAGTGGCTA